CTGCAACAATTGGTGAGTAGGCAGTGGAATTCTTCGGTGGCACCAAACGGACCAAGACAGGAGATCCATTGAAAGTGAGGATTCCGTCCGGGGCCTGAGTCTCAGCTCCTGCCAGCCATGCACGTGGTCCCAGGGCCTTGAATGGCCGCAGCTTCCAGGAATACGACTCCGCCCATTTGACAAGTGCATCATTTGTCACTCCATATGGCAATGCATCCAGCTTATAGACAAAGTTGGAAGAAACCGCTGACGGGACAGGTGCCGTAGGGTTGGCAATCTTCCATGCCTCCTCAAATGCTTCAACTGTGAATCTGAGCCCCAACGTTTTCTTGCCTTTCACCAATCCAAGATGATTGTTGAGTCGAGCTGCAAGGGTGTTTGCATATGCCCAATCTGCCGTCAGCCAAAGGATACGATAGCCAGTATCAGGTCGGCCTTGTTCATCTTTGGGCGTTGCAAAGAGATGATTGAAGCCGCTACCAGCCAGAACTGCGGATAGGGAACTGACTTTGATCAGGCAATGGATCTGGACACTGTGAGCTTGGTGTGGCTGCACGGCCTTGTTCTCGGCTCTAAAGCTGCGGCCCCAACAGGAGAGGATGACATCATCTTTCATTTGTGCTCGAGCAACTTGAAAGGTGTTGTGGAGGAGTTCAGACCATGCTTCCGGCTTCCAATCTTCTTTGTACATGGCAAATGCAACCGTTTTGGACGCTTCCATGGCAACTGTCTTGGAGCTCTTGATGATCGTGACCTTTTTGGCACCAAATTGGACCAAATTGCACGCCAAAATGACTGATCGTCCCTGCGGGTCCTCACATGGGACAGACAAGGAGCACGTAAGCGAAGGGTCCAGTTTGGCTCCAAGTGGTAGTTCACCAAGGATCACCAATGCAAGTTCATCACTGCTCAACCGGCCTGCTGATTGCAGCCACTGCATGGCTTCCTGAGAGGAACAGAGATAGACCCCTGTGGTTCCTGACTTGAAGGTGGCAATCTGTTCACATTCAGTGTTGTCTTCATTGAGAAAGTACCCTGAAGCAATCCGATATTGTGACGGGTCAGGAGGAGCCTGGATTTTTCTCTGCTTGGAGTGCTTAGAGGACTGGTTTGGATGATGATCCTTGGACCCTGGTGGTGGAACTTCAATCTGCCGACTATGACACATCTCAATGATGGCAGTGAGCCTCTTGGGTCCAGCTGGAATGCCAGCAACGGCAGTGAGATCCTTGTGATCAACCTTGGTGTTCAGCAGCTCCATTGTTTTGGACACCCATTGGATTGCAAAACCGCCTTCAAGCAACGTCCCCGCCAACGCATTGGACACCTTGGTTTTGTGTGTATGTTTGAATCCAACTCCAAACAAGTCTTCCGCCGTGATGGTCAACGTGCAAGGAAGGTTCCGGTTAAAATGAGGTGCAACCAGCTCACTGATCTTGGTGGCATGTTTGAGGACTCGGCCATCAAACACAATGTAGACCGGACCCGAATAGTTGACACCCTGCTGGAAAAGGATGGCCCTGATCTTTGCAACTAACTGACCAATCTGACATTGCAGTGGCAAGAAAAGTGGCCGCGGAAACAGGTCAGGCAATTGGGTATTCTTGGCAGGAATGACACAAAATGGAAAGACCTCCTGTGCCCCCGAGCACTGACCTTGGCGTGATGTAACCAGGCGGTTTCTGATGCCAAGTTACCTGCCTCAAGATCTGGCCCCGTTGAGATGGGCCAGGTGGCTGTGCATGAGACTGTTGGATGCTGGCTAACAGGGACAGGATCTTGACGAACACTTGTTTCAGACGGGGGAGCAATCGAACCAAACATGTGGCCAGACCAATCACAACCAATGTGAACAATGCATGGTTCGGACAGTGACCGTGTGGCTTCACCAATCGTGTCCAGAAGGGACAATGAGCGGTCACCAATGGTGAATTGGACCGTGGATGGGCCAATGACAGGACGGAGGACATAGCAGAGACATTCTTCAAGGTCCCGAAACTTGCAGGCAGGATCCAGGTGGCCTTTCCACAAATGGTGGGAGTTCCAACGCAACGAGATACAGGGGGCACCTGAGGGCTCAACAGAACAACCATCCAACAAAACCCGGAATGCCGAAACTCCAATGGCAAGCCATGAATGATCTGGCGGTAGGGCAACCTTAGTGGATGCTGGACTGAGGACAATTGTGACTTGTGCGTGTGTCTTCACGAGGGACCACTGACGGCCGATGGATGCAAGTAACTCTCGCATCGATCCCTGCCAAAAGGCTTCAATGTCACTGACCTGCTCTGGCTGGCCTGCAATTGTGAGCTGCATGAGATCTTCTTTGGGACACCAATGGAATTGACTTGGCCATGCACGAAAGGCAGGCAGCAAGATCCCAACAGGCTTGGTTAATGTGCCCTGACTCAATGGATGATCAAAGAATGCCACATGTGACTCCCAAACCGCCTCAGCTTGAACTTGGCCAAACTGATTCCACACTGGTGCAGCTGTGGAGCGGACAAGGCTGTCAATGACCGTGTCAGTGTCAGGGTGGGCCAAGAGGGTCAACTGACCACCTAGCATTAGGCATAGCGGCTGTGTATGCGATGGTGCAAGTGACAAAGCAGAACATGTCCCAAGCTGCAGGATTTCTCTACCTGGCATTGGAGGCTTCTCATGGCCAAGGCTAATGATCTGGTGGTGCCAAATGTTCACAAATTGGTCTCGCTTGATACGAATGTCACTCCAGAGTCCCCGAATGACTGAACCCTGCTGGAACAAGACATGGTCAAAGAATGGTTCCCCTGCTTCAGAATCTGACGTGTCAACATCCGTGGGGGCTGCTGGTGAGTGTTCTTGACCAGTACGGGGACGTTTGAGTGCAGGTTCAATGCCCTGGCCAATCTCAACACAATTCTCATCATTTGAAACCGACGTCCGAGACAAATTGTCAACAGTGGCAGACTTGCTGTCAGTGGCAGGGTCAAACAATTGCTTGGTGATCAGCCCTTTGCCAGGATGCCAAACATGGTCTCTTGAAAACGCTCCTGAATGCAGGTGACTGAGCAATGGCCGGACATCTATGGCTTGGCACTCAAGGTCCTCAAACCGACAATCCCGGAAGAGAATACCCTCATCAAAGTTAGTTCGATGGATGTGATTGGCCTGCATGTGACACTTGTGGAGCATCCCGAACAGAGAATGAAGATCTAATTCCGCGCTATCATTCAAAACCAGGTTCAGGCCATTGACAATAACCAACAAGGCATGCGGGACAGAGATCTGGTTACCGACATGGACCCAGGCTTGCGAGCGATCATTCACGATGAAACAGCGCTTGTAACATACGTGCAACATGCATGCCTCAAATGGATGCCACCATCTTGGTGTTCCCTCCTGCCCCAAACTCAACTCTTCAGGTGACGGCACTTGCACAAAGTGGGCCATGTACCCCTTGGTTCGAAGCACCTGCTCAGAAAGGTCATGCTGAGATGTGTACAAGGCCATGAATGTGTCAACTGTTTCTTTGCCTTGATTACAGCGCATGGCCATCACTTTGCTTGAGTTGAGGTGTTTGGCAAAGCACCGTTTGGACGGGGGCAAAAATTGCCATTGGCACGCTTTCTGGAGAGCATCTTCTGAAATCCTCAACGTGTGGAGCTGTGCTGGGTCCCACCGAACAATGGCATCAAGGCCAATGGGTGTGCACTGAATCTTCTTCCAGGAGACGAAAGGCTTCCGAACAATGGACATGTCATGAAAGCGAACTGCAATTGCAAGCCAACGGAAGCGGTGCACTGCACTCTGATCGGCTGCATCTACGATCTTTTCCCAGCGAATGATGTACCCTGCCATTTTGAGCAGAGCAATTATGATTGGCTTATGAGGATGCTGATTGAATCCATAGACCTGTTCCAGGAATACCATGGCGGGTCGAAAAATCTTGGTCAACTGAGTGGCCACTGCAAAACTCTCACCTTCGAACGCCAGCAGTCCAGGCTGAGCTGCAGCACCTGACCAAGGCTTGCAAGAGGCCGAAATGGAAATAATGTCAACTCTCCATTTTCCAACTGCGGACCACCATCCCGATTGCTCAATATGGGCTTGGACAACCACTGGCTTTGGAAGCACTGACAAATCATGCGCATGCAATCGGCCTAGGCCATTCACAACTGCAGCGTTATGATTCATAGCAAATGCTACACATGTGGGAAGATCCTGCTCTACAGCAATGGTCTCATGACTAATGGAGGAATGTTCCTGCAGAAATGTCCAGGCTGCCGACCAGCCACCAATACCTCCTGCATAGAGCTCTAGCACATGGAATGGCAGATCCTTGCCGGGACCTTGAGGTGCCACCAGGTTGGGCTGATGGATGAAGCACGACCATCGGTCACATCGGAACATGTCATCTTGATTCGTGGCTAGAAGGTTCCAGCAAATGCCATACGTGCCCACCTCTGGACATGGATCCTTAGAGTGCCACTCAAGCTTCACAGTTCGAGATAGGCAAGTGGCTGCAGGGATCTCCAATACTTCTGCTCGAAAACGGGCATCCGAATACCCCTCCGGTTGCCATAGCTTCAAACATGGAAAACAACCTCCATCCGAAGTGATCATGCCAGCAAGGTGAACTCTTCCTTCAGCAGATGCCTTCGAAAATGCAAAGTCCTCCAGAATCGAGGATACAATATCCATTGCATGGACCATGGCGCGGCTCACTTCGCTAGCCCACACAGCTACCCAGGGTCCCGCCGCGTGGAGGCTTGAGCCCAGGGCCTGTCCAAAAAGACACCAAAGCATATATAGGCACCAACAGTATCCTGAGGAGGCTCCAACGTGTTTCTCATTTTCCGGTGCAAGTCGTGCCACATGTGTGGCGTCAATTGGCCTGCCCCACCGCCCAAAAAGACTCCAAACATCTCCAACCATTCTTCTGCACCTTCGGGCATTAGAAGCTCAAGACTCCGGATCGAGGACGGCTCGGAGAAACGTCGATCTATCACTCGATGCAGGTGATGACCAGCGATCGCGCCCTGAAGCTCATGGGCCCCTGGTTCGGACCTTTGGGCTCGCTCGGCGGGTGGATGATGGAGCTGATGAGCGCGCCCTGGCGGTCGAAACCCCACGGCGTGAGACGACACCATTACCGGAGCTGTGCGGTCTTGCCTGCTGACTAATAGAAAAGCGACAGAGCAGAGTTGTCCAGTTTCCAGGGTAGGTTGCATCCGTAGCTAAATAAACAAACATGGTCCAACCAAAGATGTGAGGATGGTCGTTGGATGTTGTTGGAATGATAACTTTCTCTACTCTACCAGTTGAGCCTATGAGCTCCCAAAAAGCTTTGGAATGCAAGCTTACTACGAACTAGTTCATTCTTTCCACGTGGTAAACATCAATCTAGCCACCGTCCGTGTGGTGCAAAAGAGAAGAGAGAGAGAGAGAGAGAGAGAGAGGGAGAGGGGGAGCGAGAGAGAGAGAGAGGAGAAGAGAAGAGAAGAGAAGAGAAGAGAAGAGAAGAGAAGAAGGAGAAACATCATGCGGACAAGCTTGTGCGGACCGGTGCACAGCGCGAGCGGTGCAGCCGGGCCAGGTGGGAGAAACATCATAAAAGAAACTTCTATAATAGACGGCTATTCAATCTATCATCCACTGGAACGGTTCGCTGAGGTGCTTGTTCGACATCATGCCTTCCAGCTCCTCCTGGTCCTCAGCGCTCTTCCTGTTAGTCGCTTTGCCTTCCTCGCCTTGGAGGGCTCTCCTCGGGCTGCAGAGCAACGCAGGTCATTGGCAGATGCTCGGGGCAGTGGATGATGCTATCAAGCTATAGCATGCTATAGCTAGGTGGGGATGGGCATGTTTATCAAGGCAGCTCCCAAGTGATTGCATGACCCTATACATAGGGTTTACTTATGTTTACTTTTTACATTTTTCTATATCAGACTCTATCATACCCTATCCCTTTTTTGCGTAGAGGCCTTCGGCTGTAACAGCTGCCCAGCAACCACAAGTAGACTGGCTTCCTGTTTTCATTCTGTTTCTCCTGGCCAGTTCAGGAACTGCACAGAGCCAGAGCCACAACTTGGTTGACTCATCATTCTTTTGTGCAGGAGTTTGGCATGGAACTTTTTGGGGAGGCGTGTTGGCTTTTTGTCCAGGCCTAGGCAACCACAGGTGGCTTTTTGTGGCATTCCGGCGGTCTCTGGGAGATCAGCTCCAGACGAAAACGCCCAACAACAAACATGTAGACTCTTGATTCTCTTGATGAATAAGCCCCCCATATGATGAGGATGTCCAATTCAACTGGGCGGGCTTATTATACATCACATGTATAGTTGGAAGTGAAATGAGACACCGATTCCGCGACTGGCGCGAGCTAAGGATCGATTTCGAGAGCTGCTGCGGTGGGTGCTGTCCAGCGGTGCCTCGGTCCTGCGGTGGGTCTTCACTCGTGGCCAGCGTGTATCCCTCCACCAGCGTTCGACGTTCGCTTTTTGTGTGGCCGCAGCGTGGTCGTTGGTGTCATGTATTTGTTTTCTGTCCTGTCGGTTTCCGGTCGGTGATCGTTGTTCCGTTTCCACGTTGTTATATATGGGTTTGGATATTTCGCCTAAGTAAGGCATGGTGCGCGAAGCCTCGTGGACTTTGACAACCGGGTGGTTCGACTCCACCCTGGCTCGCTTTCGTTTGGTTTCTTGCTTTTTCTAGCGGCCAAAAATGGCTGCACAGAGCTACTACTCCTTCTTGTTCTTGCGTTGCTCTGTGCCCAGGGACATAATTCTCACTATAGCCTTACATACTTGGGCGCTGTCCGGCATTCAAAAATGCTATCTGACGACCACTGTCGGAGGTTTGCGGTATTAAGCACCTGTTGGACAAGGGTGTCGCGATGCTCCGGCGTGCCGTTTAGCAGCTCATGCTGCTTGCCGAGGTTCCCTCGTTTTTGGAATCATTGGTGCTTGGAACTTGGGGAGCCGCAGCTTGCAGTGGCCACCGTTGGTGTTCGCTGTCCTGGTCGGTTGTCAGACATTTCAGACTCTTGGCAGTCGCACGATGGAAGTACAATGGCTCTGCGACACGTGGGCGCCGCTTTTTGGGACGCTCATGTTTTTTCCCATGACTGGGTTGGGCATGTGAAAAAAGAACACAAACCTAGAAAGATGGATGAAACTCGTTCCGTTGGAAGACACACACACAAAGCCAATTGTAAGCATAGCATCAAATGACACAGCTTGCTGTAGCAATGGATCATGCTGAATCCATCAACAACATGTCGGTGAAAGAAGGTGATGGTCAGGAGGCGCCCTTCCCCACAAAATTAGGACAGCCGGAGCATTTGGCAAAACATGGCTTCGTGAAAAGCAAGTTATACCCTGACCGTCGTCAGGGGTTAATTTAACCTCTGAGCTTTCTCCGTCGTTTTCTTGCGAGCGGTGGTTTTTTGCTCCAGTGTTTTTCTGTATGGCCTCGGTGGTTTATTTAACCTTTGACCGGACGTTGTTCGACCTGATGTCCTTTGGAGGCTCATCGATCAAGGGGCACGTGCAAGGGCAGTGGAAACCGGTAGACCATTCACGGAACCACAGCTGTTCACAAGGGTGCCACAATACAATAAATACAATGACTATACAGCTGGTATCAACTGGTTGTGCTGATTAGCCATGCCTGCTGATGCAGAATTTGTTGCTGGACAATGCCTTTGAAGAGTCGCTGCTTTTTGGAGGTGAAGGTGCGACACCGCGCCCCCAGCCTCCCGGTTGCTGTCCGAAAATCGCACCACTGAACTGGATGACAACTGTTGCACGTGGGGAACATCCATGAAAGTAAGAGTGACCGAATGTGTCACTTGTTTGGTGACCAACGTGTTGCGCTGTGCAGCCCAAATTTGACATGTACTAGGGTCATCTAGGGTCCCTTGTTCCCACCGCTATCGCCGCTGGTTCTGCTAGGGCATTTTTTTTCCTGACGCCATGGGCAAAAAGCTTCGAAGCATCCGTCCAGAGGTTGTCGCTCTCCTGGAGGCAGGTGATTGATCCGATGTTGAGCGAATACCTGATGGGTCACATCATGTATGTAGTGAACGGATGTGAACGGTAATAATTGCAACAACTATCCCTGCACTGGAGGAATTCTATGATGAATATGCCGCGAACGAAACTTGGGTGAACCACAGGAAACGGTCTATCAAGAAAAGGACTCCTCAAGGCATAGTCATTTGGATGCACTGGTTCATGATTTTGCGTGCAGTCACAGACTACTGCTTAGCAGCCTAGAAGGACAGCCATCAAACTTAGCTAGTAGAGCTCACATGTGCTCAACCCAGCCTGGATTGCGACGATCTTCGAAGCTGGAATTTCCCACGTTCCTCAGGTGCCAAAATTCACGTTCATTGATCTCCCGGACAACTTTAAGGCCGTTTCAGAACCTGTTGCCAGGAACTCAAACTACAATGCCTTATGGACGCCTAGGTCTGCAGAGCTCATATTATTTGATATTGTTTGCCTCGCTCCCAGGTCGAGGCAAACTATGAGTTTGTGGGTGACTATCTCGCTTCATTTGCTGCCACTCCCCCAAGAAAGGGGGAGGTCGAGGTGTGGCAAGAGTTGCAAATGTTTGAGTTTTCTTCACTCTGAGTCTGCTTTGCATCAATTAATATGGCCGCGTACGCCTTGAATTTCTTTTGGGAGGTTGCCTTGCAGAACGTTTCAGAAAAGCGGGGCCTGAACCCAACCTTCCAACCTTGGCAAGCGGTAGCATCGATCTCAGCTCATTGCTAAACATTTTCTTTAACATCGATCTATAGTATATATGGCAGCGTGATATGATGCATACATGTATGAGATGGCATGCTGAGGCATGGTCTCGCCAAGAAGGTTCGATACATCGCGCATTGGCAGCCCATTGTTTGAAGCTCTTCCAAAACAACCGAAAAGCAAGGCCAAATTGGATGCTGTGTTTGCTAGTTATCCTCTCCAATTGCAACTGACACAGTCTAAAATGTGCCAATCATGCTTTGGAGGATTGGACATGAGTCCATGGCACAACTCAAGGAGATCATCCGGGTATGCTTGGAGGCTAGTTTCAATCGGCGTTTGCAATTTGAATGGCCGGGTTTGAATATATCACCCAATCCATCTTGCATGATTTCTCGGCCCCACGTATCAGGAAGCTGGACAGTTGACAGCGAAGGGCACCAAGATTCCTTCCCGTGGCCCGGGCTCTACCCCAACATCCTCCAAATCCGAGCAGGCCCAGTTACAGGGGTAGCGGATGTCATTTTTTTCTAGGCGGATGTCATTGCAAAGCTAAAAAATATAAATCTATTTTCCTGTAGAATTGAAGGAGAACAATGCTGGTGCTGAAGCTCGCGAAGGGGAGCAAGAGCAGGCGGAAGGCGATTCAGCGGAATGCAGCGCAACGGAGTTGGAGGTTCCGTCGTTTAACCCAGTAGAAGGAGCAGAGGAAGAATTGCCAACAGATGATGAGGAGGTGGAAACATGGTACCGTGATCATGAGAAGGGTTTGTGCTTCCGGCAGGTTGTGGGGGAAGAGGAAGCGGGAGGAGAGGAAAGAGAAGAGGAAGAGGTGGGAAAAAGAGAAGATCAAGAAGAAGAAGAGGCAAGATCTAAAGAGGATAGTGAAAAGGTTCAGGAACAGGAGGGGGGAGAGGAGGAATGTGGGGGAGTAGATGCTGATCCTGTTGTGGATCCTGATCAGGCGGAGGTAGATGGGGAGATAAGAGAGGAAGACGTACGCAGTAGTGAAGATGAACAAAAAAAACAAGGACCCGAGGGATACCGTTTCCTGTTTAAAATTATCATGTGCGATTCTATTGGAACAATTGTATGGCACGCGCTGTATGTTGTAGGACCGCAAGCCAGCTGCAATTCCTGTGGCGAGTGAGGATGAGGAATTGGAAAAAGAGGCAGATCGTCTTGGAGATGAACTAACGCGCAATGCCAAAAAAAATGACGACCTGATCAAGGCCAGGTAATAGGTGGACTGGACAGGAGGACCAACACCGCATTCAATTCAGTCCTTCTTTCCGCCATGAGGCACAGAGGCAGGTAAGAGCAACATTGCGACAAAAGCCAGAGGAAGATGAGGAGCTAGAGGATGAGGATCGTGCGCACAAAGAGGAATTGGACGATGATGGAGATGAAAGCAAACCCAAGCATAGGGGCAGGGGAAGGGGACGGGGCAGAAGCAAAGGTAGAGGACGTGGGAAAGGGCGTGGGCGTGGCCGAGGTCGAGCGGCTAAACCTGAACCCCCAAAAAAGAGACCGGCTTCAGCTTCGAAGGGGCATGACGGGTCAGAGAATGAGGGTGGAAGGAAGAAGCGTAAGACAGATGTTGAGGCGTACATGGTGTATGAGTCGAGCATTCACTAGTTCATTTTTTGAAAATCGGTTAAACATGTTAAACCATGTTAAACCTCTGCGCACTTCTGGAGGTCCAAAACCTTGACAAGATCAAGCTCTTGTCCAAGAAGGATCCATCGATGGCTGTGCCCGCCGGTTTCTCTGGAAAGTCTACTGCTCAGAGAGCTTGGACAAAACAAGTTTTGTTGGCAAACGCTGGACTCGACTTGGCTAAATTCAGGAACTTCACCTTGGCACCTCCTAAGCCTGGTGCGTCAGCCATTGGAGTTTTGTTTGGGAGCCTAGATCCAATCTAGATACTCTGTCCGTCCAATTTAAACATCGTGATTTAATAAACACAAAACCCTGAACTCAAACACTGTAGGCTGGCCAAGTCTGGCTTTTATGTCAACAAAGCAGACGAGAAGCTGGTGAAGGCCATCAACCGGAGTGAGGGGACCAACTTGCAGGCCAGCGCCACTTCAATCATCAGCCAAAGCTAGCGCAGCTCGAATAGTCCAATCAAAAATCTATAGTAAAATCCATCATCCTCAGCTTCAATGTCTCGTGGAGCTGGCACAGGTGGATGCCACTGCGAAAAAGGGAGTTTCGATATATTGGAGAACTAGTGGCGGAGTGGCCAATGCGTTTTGCCCTCGTTTGACAGTGCAGCAAAAATCCCTCCAATCCCGACCATATGTTTGCAAATGCTCAGGTGGGCCTTGGCAAAAGTCTGCGGCAAATGGGAGGCCCATGATGTCGATTGATAGACGTGCAATTTTCTAGCCAGATCTTTTAGCTTTGTCGTTCTGAAGCCGCTATAAGCCCAGCCCTGTATCGCTTGAGACCTCACTATAAATTCTAGAAACCAAAGTGCGCCCGACTTCTTTGTTTTTCAATCCCAGGGCTGGGACTTGACAGCAGTTGAAGAAAAAAAGTATCCACCTGCCACCTGCAAAAGCATTTGAGGCCATTGCACTGTGTCAAATGCAAGCCAAAAAATTGTCAAACTCACAGCTGGTAATGGTAGCTTTTTTTGCTGGCTCGACACTTGACGCCCTTTAGATCCTTTGAAGCTTGCTGGACTGGACCTCGGACCGGACCCTCGAAATGGTAGCCAAAAATTCATGGATGCTGTCACCACTTGCGCTTACGCGTAAGTCTAGTTTGGCCTTGATCAAGCTTGGGGCACCCTTGATGCTGTGGCTTGGCTGACTGCACGCTAGTAGCTAGCGCAGCATGATCAGGTGTGGAACATGCAAAAGTAGCGGCTTAAGCCGAGGTTGCATTGCGTGGACTACATATCCCAGATCACTGCCGGTACCAATGGAGCGAAACGTGTAAGCCCCTAAGCTCTCTAAACACTTATTATAGGAACATGTTCAATGAACTGAGGACGTCATGCTCACCGACTTTTTCAGTGGACAAGGAAATATCTTCACGGAGTTCAGCCCAACCCTCAATCTTTATTTTCGGTGATGCTACAATTATAGCTCCCACGGCCAAAGACTGAGTTCAAGCCAAGGCAACGCTGGATACACGGCGCCATCTCCTCAATGATTGTTTGCAACAGTTCCTTGGCAAACTTCGCTTCGGGGGTCGGTTGCCCAGGGATTTCTACGAGATCCTACATGGGGGCGACAGACATGATCTTTGCAAAACGCTGGATCCTG